TCCAGAAAAAGAAGGGAGATATGGCTTTGTAAATTTAAGGTAGGAGAGGTTGTTTGAAGATAATTCTCCTTATGATTTAATATTCTATTTAATACTCAGAGTGCATATGTGTTTCCATCAAATCCACCCCTCATTCCAGTTCTTTCCTGCTCTCCTGACCCCCACCTTCCCTCCCAACTACATTGTTCTTCTAGTTTTTTAAAAAAACACTCATTGTGGATGCAGATTAAGCGTTTTTAAAAATCCTTCTCTCTTATGTATGGACTTCAGTTTCTCCTCCCTCCACTCCTTCCAACCCTTCCCTCCCATCCTCTTTTGTTTCCCTTCAGAAAAGAGCAGGCCTTCCAGGGACATCAACTGAACATAGCATACCAAGTTACAATAAAAACAGCACAAACCCTCATATCAAGGCTGGATGAGACACTCAGTAGGAGGAAAAGGGTCCCAAGAGCAGGCAAAAGAGTCAGAGACAACCCCACTCCCACTGTTAGGAGTCCATGAGAACAACAAACTAAGCAACCCTAACATATATGCAGAGGACCTAGTGTGGAGACCCATGCAGGCTCTGTGGCCGTTGCTCCAATCTCTGTGAGCCCTAGATGAAGCCTCTTTGATGGTGATTGGTCTAGGCACCAATGATGTTGGATGCCCCTCTGTAGGTTGTGAATGTGTTTTACTACCATTGGTTAATAAAGAAGCTGATCTGGCCAATAGCCAGGCAGGAAATCCAAGCAAAGAAAAAGGGAAAAAGAAGGTGGAAGATGCCAGCAGTTGCTAGAGAAGCAAGATATGAGGTCACAAGTCATGAGCCTCATGGTGAAATATAAAATAATAGAAATGGGTTAATTTAAGTTGTAAGAGCTAGTTAATAATAAGCCTGAGTTAATAGACCAAACAGTTTGTAATTAATATTATGCCTCAGAGTGGATAGTCAGGGACTAGTGGAAAAGAGAGAAACATCCAGTTATACCCTAATCTAAGAGTGTAACAGAATATCATTAGGAATCATTTCATTGATTTTTTCCCCAGACCTGTTTTGTTCTATCATAGCTGTCTGGGATGTCCAGGCTCTGGTTCCTAGTCATCCTGGCAGTATCAGGGCTGCTCAGGTGCAGGTCTCATCAGCCAGAAGAGCAGGTAGGCCTCCTGTCTTCAGTTCCCAAAGGTCCAATTCACAACCACTCCTTCCCTCCCCATCCCCACTCCGCTGCTGTGTCCCTGTCCCTGGACATTCCCTGCTCAAGTGCAGGTCACACCAGCCAGAATAACGGGTGTGCAAACTCGGGCATTGTTGTTGTTGTTATTGTGTGTGTTCTGTGTGAGTGTACATGCCACAGCATAAATATGGAGGACAGAGAGCGGCCTGGGAGTCAGTTTTCGCCTTCTGACTTGTCGAGGGAGTGTGGTATCTTTTGGTTTTTCTGTGGCTGTGCTGCATCTGCCTGGCTCGGTGGGCCATGAGGTAACTCTGTCTCCTATCTCACCGTTAGAGGGCTGCTGGTACAGATGTGCCACCACAGCCAGTTTTTACCCTGAGTTCACGAGTTGTCAGGCTGGAACAATAGCTATTTTCCCCATTGAGCCATTTCCCTGGTCCCTGGCCTCAGATTTTAAAACATTTTGGCTCTTAGCATTCTTAGTGCTTGTGAGAATTACTGAGTATCCCAGATGGCTTTTATGGGTTACATCTCTAAATATTTATTATACTAGAATTTGAAAAACATCAAACTGTTTACCAGATTATTTAAAGTAGCATTAAGAACCCACTAATATAAACCTGTTAAAACAAAATAATTACTTATTTTACAAAGCTATTGAAAAATATGTCTTCAAAATAATGTTCACAAAACTCTTTGTATCTCAGGGGAAGGAAGATAAGGTCTTCTTTCTATTTCTACATTCAATATGTTGTTGTATTCTGTTTGGGTTGAAGATGGGAAGAAAAATCCACCTTCTCAGACATGTGGTTGGAAGGTAGAGGAACACGCTAGTAACTTTAATATAGTTATAGATATTATTCTTTATAGGTATTATACTCTACCATAATTACCAGACAGTAAGTTCTTAGAATATGAAACCACATGAATAAATTATTTGCACATAATTTCATTAGAATCAATTACCATCCTCAAACTTGAAGGAGCCTTTTATTTAGTTGTGATTGTGTAACATTTTATATTAGTCATTTGGAAAGTAATAATTTACTGACTCATGAGTGTCATCTAAATGCTGACACATCTCATTACCCAATCTATGACATGTTTATATGTGTGTGTTTACATATGTATATGTGTGCTTACATATAAGTGCATATAAAACATTTGAAATACCACCACTGTTCTCATAAATAATTGTACCTGTTGGAAAAATATCAGATTGTGACTGCAAACAGAAACTCCCCCAAATACTAGGTTTTGCTTGAAAGATTCAATTTTATCATCCTGACAAATTCTATGTTGTTTTCCTTGAAATGAAAAGTTCAATTTGTTCATTTACAAGAAATGTATGTCATGAAGTCAATTAGGAGGATCTATATAATTTGCCAGTTTTCTTTTTTTCGAGAAGAAAACAGTTCAATAAAAAGTGTGGCCAGTTCAGCTCATAAATTGACCATTCGAGGACTTTTTCTACAAAGAACCAGGATTGAGCAGGGTGGTGGTGGTGGCGCACGTGCTTAATCCCAGCACTCAGGAGGCAGAGGCAGGTGGATTTCTGTGAGTTCGAGGCCAGCCTGGTCTACAAGAGCCAGTTCCAGGACAGGTCCCAAAGCTACAGAGAAACCCTATCTCAAAAACAAACAAACAAACAAAAAACCAGGATTGAAAATTAATAAAACAAGTGATTGCTTCTGTTCCATCAAGAACATTCTTAGGGTAAAGTTTCAGAAGGCAAGCCTGCACAAACCCTTTACCTTGGGTGCCCCTGCCTCTTTCCTGCACCACCAGAGCTGGGTCTACTTCATACTGTCTTGTGTCTTCAGGGCCAGTAATACTTGGGGAAGGTGAGGAACTAGGGATTATTGGTTTGCAGGGGTCTTCCTGCTGAGTGGAGCCCATGTTTGACTTCATGAACCCTGAAATGGATTTGGAGGCCCCCCCAGATTTCCCTGAGGTGGTCTGTGAGAACCGTTACCTTAGGCCGTGCTACCTGAATCTTGCTTAGAGTCTACTTGCTTCCTTCCCTGGACTTCTTTCCCGGACTTCCTAGGCTTGGGTGCATGCCTCCGGGAGAACAGTGAGTAAACCGGGCACGTATTCAAGGGGCCCTTTGCTACCAGGGAAAATGGGTCCCCTCTTGTGATTTTCAGTCTCATTAAAAACATAATTCTAGAGTGGACTCAACAGTGGGAGCAAGGACAATATTATAAAGAGTTAAAAAAAAAATTCCAGGACAGACAAGCAGTAAATCCTGGCAGCTACCTGGAAGAGGAAGCTCAAGCAGAGAAAGAGAAAAGGCCATGAGCTAAACCAACATGGAGGTGAGCAACATGGCGGACAAGCAGTCACGTGATAGCAAGGGGCTCATTAGGGAAAGAGTGAAAAGGCCCAAAGCATACTGAGGTTTTAGCCAACACCCTAATCAAAGAGACGATAAAGAAGAGAAGGGAAAAGTTATGCCTTTCCGAGTCAGGAAGACAAAGCTAACAATAGGGGTGGGGTGAGAGTGGGAAGGTGGGGGGTGGGGATGGTGAGGGACTGCACCAGGGGGCGGGTCCTCTGGGAAGGAACAAGAGCTATCTCACTGAGGGGAAATTGTTCCTCATCTCTGTCTAGCACAGCTTAGGTGAACCCGCTTTTGTGAGGTGTGATTGATCTGCCTGACTGAAATGAATGGCTTTTAAGGGTAGGAGACAATGCCACGTCTCCATGTCGTGCTATTCTTTATGGCTAGGAGGCGACAGCGTTTCCTTGGTAGGCGTCAGTGCTGCTGTGACACCCAGTGCAGCTGTGATACCAGTGCTGCGGTGACAGTCAGTGTTGCGGTGACACCCAGTGCTGCGGTGACAGTCAGTGCAGCGGTGACACCCAGTGCAGCGGTGACACCCAGTGCAGCTGTGACACCCAGTGCAGCTGTGACACCCAGTGCAGCTGTGACACCCAGTGCAGCTGTGACACCCAGTGCTGC